AAATTAAAAAAATTCCTGTTGCATATAAGTGAGGGAATCAGATTTTGTTCTGAAAACAAATGTTATATATCAGGTAAGCACATTATAAATCAGTTTTGATTTCTACATTATTCTGAAGATTTAGAGAGTAAAAATCCTTGTGCTTTTGACTTTATCCCATGCCATCTCTGACAGTAGGTTTGCTGACCTTGACATATTTAACTATGGATGGTTAAACTATCCTCGATCGGAGGATTGATTTGTGAGGAAAAATGACCAGGTAGAAACTAGGAGGAAAATATCTGTATTACAAAGCACCACGTGCACAGCCCATGACCTACAGGAAAGCACTGTATGCGCAGTACACGGCCTACAGGGAAAGCAGTGCACACACAGGGGAGACTGGAGTGACTGCATGTCTTTAGTGTCTGCATCATGCACTCATCTAGTGAATTTTAGTGTACATGCTCCCTGACAAATGAAGGATTGTCAGCAGACTGGAATAGAATAGTCACTCGTATAGTATATTCACTCTTACTCCCATGTTCTCTGAACTGGAATTAATGCCTTCCTTAGTAAATGGGGCCATGCCTCCTGTGAGTCTTTATTTTCTTTGAAGTCAGTGAGCAGGGGTGATAGCTTAGTGATAGCTTGATCAACTGGGACCTTTAAAATCCCTTGACATAAACCCTCTCTTTCCTTTGCCAATCTAGCTGATTGCAAACTAGCCACATGGTTACACAACATTGGGAAATACAGAAAAGTAAACACATTTAAGTATTCATAATTTTTGTGGCTTAGAGATAGCACTTGCTAACATGCAGCATGTAATTTTCTAGTCATTTTCTTAAATAATATGTTACATGTAGAAAATACATATAGAGTGTTTTCTTGCCAAACTTAATTGAAAATGTATTGAACATATTTGTTAAGTACCAGTTCTGCACTATGTTGTTTAACAGTGTTCTTAGTAATTATATTATGAATGTTATTTTATAGTAATGAACTCTTAAGTAAAAGCAAAGCTAGAGTAATGTTGCCACTTAAAAACAAACAAATAAACAAACCCATTTGCTCCTTCTAAACACCATGCATCTCTTGCTGTTAAAATGACCATTTTGAAGTCATGGCGCTTCACTTAGGACTTTATTCTTTCACTCTCAGTTACATTGCTATGTATTTATCCACAATAAAAAGAAGAAGAAAACATGATCGCTAAAACTAGACTTTATCTGCATTCCATTCTTCCTCATGGTCTAGTGTTACTCTTTCTGTTTTTCTTTCTAAATGTTATGATATATACCTACATATGTTTGTTTACTTACATATGTGTATACATTCATTCTTCTACAAAATTTGTGATTTCATTTTTCTTTGATGCTGAATAGCATTCCATTTTACACATGTACAGGATGATCCTTATCCAGTCATCTGTGGTAAACAACTAGATTTAAGTTGTTCGTTCTCTTTAAAACAGGGGGAATTCAAGGCTGGTGAGAGTGAAAATTTAGAAAGCCATTATGGAAATCAGCTTGGAGTTTCCTCAAAAAAGTAAAGCTAGAACTACTACTATATGACCCAGTCCTTCACCCCTGGCACACACCCAGAGGACTTACCAGAGAGACTCTTGTACTTTTGTGTGGATTGCTACTTTATTCACTGTAGCAAGGAAATGGGACCAGAATAATAAATGTTTTAAATCTATTTTTAGAAATACGTGATGATCTTTTATCTCCATTACACACAATTAGGAACTGTTCTTAGAAGTATTTGAAACTTGAGAACACTGATCCACAGTGGTTGAGGGATTAGACCTGGAGGCCTAGCTTGGGCTCAGGAAGTTACCGTGGATGCGAGTGTTATGCTACCATCTAGGAAATCCCATCTTGTTTCTCCTCATCATGATGGATGAGGGAAGACTGCTTAGGAGGAAGGTTGGGATCAGTGAAAAGTGGGGTATGAGAGAGGGGACTAAGGTACGAATATGATCACAGTGCATTATATATGCCTGTATAAAACTGGCGATATAAAAGAAATTCAAAAATTATCAGATGACCAAACACTGTAAGCTACAAGCCCTACCCTGTCCCCAAACTTTTGCAACCTCAGTGGAACTCTGAAACACAGCTTGCCACAATACAGAGAGGACCAAAAGGTGAGTGACCTAGTAGAACACCACACTCTTAGGCACTCCATAGTGGGACAAAAGCCTGGAGCCCCTCCCCCACATGCCTCAGCTTCTCAATCCAGCCAGCAGGGCAGTTTCCTACAGGTAGGCCACCCCAATACCACCTTTCATCCACATGAACTTGCAAGCTACAAGTCCCATCCTGCCCCCAAACTCACCTATCCTGCAACCTCAGCGGAACTCTGACACACAGAAAGGACAAAGAGAGAGGACCACGAGAGAGGGTCAAGAGAGGAACTCTAAAGCACAATCTGTGACTACGCAGAGTGGACCGAGAGAGAGAACCAGGAGAGTAGACCAAGAGAGCAAGCTAAGAGAGACCTCAGTGTCTCCCTGAGACACAGACATTGACAATACAGAACAGACCAAGAACAGTTCCCAAAGATGCAGACAGCCACTGCAAGGATTGGACCAAGATGCAAAGACACTGTCAGCATCAATTGAAGGAAGGTAGGTGCCAATGCAAGAATTCATTTAACAACCTAAAAAACAGGATGGTAACACCAGAACCCAGTGGTCACACAACAGGAAGACTTGATCATCTTAACCCAGAAGAAGAAAATGATTTTAACTGTAACTTTATGAAGATGATGGAGACCTTTAAAGAGAAAATAAAAACTCCCTTAAAGAAATAGAAAAAAGGCAAACAAAAAAGTTGGAAGAAATTAATAAATCTCTCAAAGAAACCCAAGAAAACCAAGAAGAAACAATCAACCTGGTGAAGCAAACAGTTCAAGACTTGAAGACTAAAATAGAGGCAATAATAAAAACACAAACTGAGGGAATTCTGGATATGGAAAATCTGGGCAAATGAATGGGAACTACAGAGGCAAGCATAATCAAAAGAATATAAGAGATGAAAGATAGAATCTCAGGTATTGAAGATACTTTAGAAAAAATTGATTTATTGATCAAAGAAAACATTAAATCCAACAAATTCTTACAACAAAACAACCTGAAAATCTGAGAAACCATGAAAAGTCCAAACCTTAAAATAATAGGGATAGAACAAAAAGGAGAACTCCAGCTCAAAGGCAAAGAAAATATATTCAAAAAATCAATAGAAGGAGCAGTGTGAAGAAGCAGCGAGAACGACCCCGGGGACGGACCCGAGCCCCGCACTGCTGCAGCCCCGAGTTCAGCGCCGACGTGTCCCGCCATGCCCAAAAGAAAGGCTGAAGGGGATACTAAAGGAGATAAAGCCAAGGTGAAGGACGAGCCACAGAGAAGATCGGCAAGGTTGTCCGCTAAACCTGCACCTCCAAAGCCAGAGCCCAAGCCTAAAAAGGCCCCTGCAAAGAAGGGAGAGAAGGTACCCAAGGGGAAGAAGGGGAAGGCCGATGCTGGTAAGGATGCCAATAATCCTGCAGAGAATGGAGACGCCAAAACAGACCAGGCACAAAAAGCTGAAGGTGCTGGAGACGCCAAGTGAAATGTGTGCGTTTTTGATAACTGTGTACTTCTGGTGACTGTACAGTTTGAAATACTATTTTTTATCAAGTTTTATAAAAATGCAGAATTTTGTTTTACCTTTTTTTTTAAGCTATGTTGTTAGCACACAGAACACTTCATTGTTTTGGGTGGGGAGGAACATGTGTCACTAGCAGTGTCTCCCAAGCTGGATGAATGATGGTTCATGATGGAAAACATCTTTCCCTGATAATTTTGAAAGACTCCTCTTGGCTTCCAGGAGAGACGTCCTGGGGACATGTTGACATATGTGGCCACCATGGCACAACATGCCTTGTGTGGGAGAACTAAGTTCGTTTTTATATTCTCCTCCCCCTGTACCATCAACATAGACTTAACTCCCTTAAGACCAGAGACCTGTTGGAACCTGATCCCCAAAATTGGTTTGCCAGTCTGTTGGGCAATCTGGACTTTGCAGTGATATCATTGAATGTCCTCAAAAGCGCAGCGGTTCCTTTTATAGAAGACTGTGGATCTGCAGATTGATAATTCTGCCATTTTCATTTCATTTCCTGAAAGTCAGGGTCGGCTTGTGAAAAGTTGTGAAACAACATCCTCAATGTGAAATGTCAGCCCTCACTCTAAGCTCCTCCCCCTTTTCAGAGCATCCAATGAAGACTCACCGGGTTTTATAGTGGCTTTCTGATTTTGGTAGTCGATACAAGAAGGGAGTTTGGAAGTTCTTGTATACTGTTACTGATTGTCTGCCCATGTTCTGCCTGGAAAACCATGATTGTTTACGGAAAGTGTCTTTAATAAAGCTGGATACAGTTTGGCTTGGAAAAAAAATCAATAGAAGAAAAATTTCCCAACCTGAAGAAGGATATCCCTATAAAGGTACAAGAAGCTTACAGAACACCAACTAGACTGGATCAAAAATAAAAAACGTCCCCTCACCATATAGTAATCAAAACGCAAAGCATACAGAATATAGAAAAACTATTAAGAGCTGCAAAACAGGATCCAGCCTTCTGTAGTATACAATAAACACACCTCAACCTCAAAGACAGGCACTACCTCAGAGTAAAGGTTTGGGAAAAGACTTTTCAATCAAATGGACCTAAGAATCAAGTGGAAGTAGTTATCTTAATATCTAACAAAATAGATTTCAAATGAAAATCAATCAGAGGAGATGGAGAAGGACACTTTATATTCATAATAGGAACAATCCATCAGGATGAAGTCTCAGTCCTGAATATCTATGCCCCTGATACAAGAGCACCTACATATGTAAAAGAAACATTACTAAAGCTTAAGTTGCACATCAAACACCACAAAAGTAGGAGACTTCAGCACTCCACTCTTGCCAAAGGGCAGGTCATCCAGACAGAAGCTTAACAGAGAAATAAGAGAACTAATAAATGTCATGATTCAATGAACTTAACAGACATCTACAGAATATTCCGCCCAAACACAAAAGAATATACTTTTCTATCAGCACCTCATGGAATCTTCTCTAAAATTGACCACATACTCGTTAATAAAGCAAATATCAGCAGATAAAAAAATTTGGAGTAACCCACTGTATCTTATAAGATCACCATGGTTTTAAATTAGAATTTAACAATAGCACTACTCACAGAAAACCTACAAACTCATAGAAATTGAACAGTGAACTATTGAGTAATCTCTGGGTCAATGAGAAATAAAGGAAGAAATTAAGGACTTCCTAGAACTTAATAAAAATGAAGGCACAAGTAACCAAACCTATGGGACACTATAAAAGCAGTGCTAAGAGGAAAGTTCATGGCATTAAGTGCCTCATGAAGAAAGAGGAGATAGCTCACACTAGTGACTTAACAGGACACCTGAAAGTTCTAGAACAAAAAGAAGCAGACTCATCCATGAGGTGTAGAAGACAGGAAATAATCAAATTGAAGACTGAAATCAATAAAATAGAAACAAAGAAAACAATGCAAAGAATCAATGAAACAAAAAGCAGGTTCTTTGAGAAAATTAACAAGGTAGATAAACCTTTATCCAAACTAATCAAAAGGCAGAGAGAGAACATCCAAATTTACAAAATCAGAAATAAAAGGGCAAAAGGCCATAACAACAAATTCTAAGGAAATTTAGAGAATCATTAGGTCCTACTACAAAAACATGTATGCCACAAAATTGGAAAATGTAAAAGAAATGAACAATTTTCTGGATAGATACCATATATCAAAATTAAATCAAGACCAGGTGAACAATTTAAATAGAACTATAAACTACAAGGAAATAGAAGCTGTTATCAAAAACCTCCCAATCAAAAAAAAAAAAAAAAGCCCAGGGCTAAATGATTTTAGTGTGGAATTCTACCAGAACTTCCAAGAAGAGCTAATACCTATACTCCTTAATGTGTTTCACATAATAGAAATAGAAGAGTCATTGCTAAACTACAGTTATGCAATGAAGCTACAGTTTTTTTTATGAAGCTACAGTTACCCTGATACCAAAACCAAACAAAGACTCAACCAAGAAAGAGAATTACAAACCAGTGTCACTCATGAAAATAGATGCAAAAATACTCAATAAAATAATGACAAACCAAATTCAAGAATACATCAAAAAAAAAGTCATCCGCCATGATCAAGTCGGTTTCATTCCAGAGATGCAGGGATGTTTCAACATATGAAAATATATCCATGTAACCCATGATATAAATAAACTGAAAGGAAAAAAAATTATATTATCATCTCATTAGATGCTGTAAAAGCATTTGACAAAACACAACACCCTTAATGATAGTGGTGTTGAAGAGATCAGGGATACATGGAACATATCTAAACAATAAAAGCAATATACAGCAAGCTGACAGCCAATATCACATTAAATGGAGAGAAACTCAAAGCTATTCCACTAAAACCAGGAACAAGACAAGATTGTCCATTTTCTCCATATCTATTCAACATAGTTCTTGAAGTTCTGGCTATAGTAATAAGACAACAAAAGGAGATCAAAAGGAGGATTCAAATTGGAAAGGAAAAAGTCAAACTTTTGTTATTTGCAGATGATATGATAGTATATATAAGTGATCCCAAATATTCTACCAGGGAACTTTTACAACTGATAAATACCTTCAATAATGTGACAGCATACCACCTATATACAAACGATAAAGAAGCTGAGAAAGAAATAAGAGAAACATCACCTTTCACAATAGCCACAAATAGCATAAAATATAATGGGGTAACACTAATCAAAAAAGTGAAAGACCTATTCAACATGAACTTTAAGTTTTTGAAGAAAAAAATTGAAGAAGATACCAGAAAATGGAAAGATCTCTTATTTTCTTGAATAGGTAGGATCAACATAATAAAAATGGCAATCCTACCAAAAGCAATTAATAGATTCAATGCAATCCCCATCAAAATCCCAACACAATTCTTCACAGACCTTGAATGAGCAATAATCAACTCCACATGGTATACAAAAACCCAGGATAGCCAAAACAATCCTGTACAATAAAGGAACTTTGGGAGCCATCACTGTTTCTGACATCATGCTCTATAACAGAGCTACAGTACTGAAAACAGCTTGATATTGGCATAAAAACAGGGAGATTGACCAATGGAATTGAATTGAAGACCCGAATATTAATCCACACACCTAGAAAACCTTATTTTCTACAAAGAAGCTAAAATTTTACAATGAAACAAAGAAAACATCTTCAACAAATGGTACTGGCCTGGCATAAGTGTATGTCAACATGTAGTAGAATGAAAATAGACCCATATCTATCGCTATGTACAAAACTCAAGTCCAAATGGATTAAAGATCTCAATATAAATTTGAGTACACTGAACCTGTTAGAAGAGAAAGTTGGAAGTAGTCTTCAATGCTACTTTGGTCTTTAGGAGACCACTTTCTAATTATAACCTCAGAAGCACAGACACTGAGAGAAACAATAAATAAATGGGACCTCCTGAAACTGAGAAGCTTCTATAAAGTAAAGGACACAGTCAATAAGACAAAAAGGCAGCCTACTGAATGGGAAAAGATCTTCACCAACACCACATGAGACAAAGGACTCATCTCCAAAATATATAAAGAATTCAAGAAATTAGATATTATAATTCCAAATAACCAAATTTTAAAAAGGGATGCAAAACTAAACAGAGTAGTCTCAAGAGAAGAATCTCAAATGGCCGAAAGACACTTAAGGAAATGTTCAACATCCTTAGCCATCAGGGAAATGCAAATCAAAACAACTTTGAGATACTATCTTACACCAGTTAGAATGACTTGAATCAAAAACACCAATGATAGCTTATGTGGAACAGAATGTGGAGTATGATGAGAATGCAAACTTGTACAACCATTATGGAAATAAGTATAATGGTTTCTCAGAAAATTGAGAATCAACTTACTTTAAGATCCAGCAATACCACTCTTGGGCATATGTAACATTGAGGCCAGCTAGTTGTGGTTTTCTGTCCTGCCCGGTACCCCATAGCCTGCAAGCCCCAAAGAAAATCACACAGAGATCTCTACAAGTTATAAAGCTGATTGACCCATTAGGTCAGGCTTCTTATTAGTTCTTGTAACTTATATTAACCCATTATTCTGATCTATTTTAGCCACCTGGCTCAGTACCTTTTCCAGCTGGCAGATCACATCCTGCTTCCTCCGTGGTCTGCGCTGGACTGTGGAGGTAGCTTCCTGCTTCTCAGAATTCTCCTGTTCTCATTGCATCATTTCTACTTCCTGTCTGGTTTACCCACCTATACTTTCTGCCTGGCCAATCAGCGTTTATTTAAAACATGAGTGACAGAATACAGACAATTCTCCTGTACCAGGCACATACCCAAAAGATGTGCAAACATACTACAAAGGCATTTGTCTAACTATGTTCACAGCAGCATTATTTGTAATAGCCAGAACCTGGAAATGGCCTAGATGCCCCTTAACCGAAGAAAGGATAAAGAAAATGGGGCACACTAGAGTACTACTCACCTGTAAAAAACAATGACATCTTGAAATTTATATGCAAATGGATGGGACTAGAGAACACCATCCTGAGTGAGGTAACCCAGACACAAAAAGATGAATATGGTATGTACTCACTCATAAGTGGATACTAGCTATAAACAAAGGATGTTGAGCTTATAGTTCATGATCCTAGAGAAGCTAAGAAACAAGGTGAACCCTAAGAAAAACACATATAGATCCACCTGGAAAGTCAAAATAGACACGATGGCCTAACAAAATTGGAAGCATGGGGGTAGGGGAGGGAGAATGGAGGATGGAAGGGGAAGATGAGGGGAGAAGGAAAGGGGGAAGGAAAACTTAAAGGAACAGGATAGTCAAGAAGGAGGAAGGACAGAGATGAGAGCTAGGGAAGAGATATCTTGATTGAGGGAGCCGTGATGGGGCTAGCAAGAAACCTGACTCTAGAGAAATTCCCAAGAATCCATAAGAATTATCCCAGCTAAGACCCTAAGCAAAAGAGCAGAGGGTGCCCAACTGATCTTGCCCTGTAGTCAGACTAATGAATATCTTAAATATCACCATAAAACCTTCATCTAGCTACTGATGTAAACAGAGGCAGAGACCCATATTAGAGCACTGGACTGAGCTCCTAGGGTTCAGTTGAAGAGTGGAAGGAATAAGAATATGAACAAACAGGTCAAGACCATGAGGGGTTCACCCACTGAAACAGTCTTCCTGACCTAATGGGAGCTCACCAACTCCAGCTGGACAGGGAAGGAACAAGCATAGTACCAAATTAGTCCCTTTGAATGTGGTTGACAGTTGCATGGCTGGGGCACACTGAGGGGCCACTGGCAGTGGCACCAGGATTTATCCCTACTCTTGTACTGGCTTTTTGGGAACCTATTCTCTTTGTATGTATACCTTGCTCAGTCTAGATATAGTAGGGAGGGCCTTGAACCTTCTCCAAAGCAATGCACCTTACCCTCTCTGTGAAGTGGATGTGGAGTGGGGTAGGGGTAAGTGGAGGGAAATAGAGGAGGAGAGAGAGCAGGAACTTGGATTGGTATGTATAATAAAAAAGATAATTATTTTTCTTTTAAAAATAAAAATAAAATGAGTAAAATAAGATGAAATTATCAGACATGGTGTTGCACACTGTTAATCCTCATGCTTATCCATAAACACTAACCATCTCCCCAGTCTATATGTAAGGCTTTCAAAATGTGTTTTCAAGATATTTATGAGGAATGGTGAGTGGGCTGAGATTTTAGCATGCTTGCAAGACAATTAATTAGCCCACTACCGATGTTATTAGGAAATAAGAGGACCCTAGGTCATAAACAGAGAACTGTTTATTATTCACAACAATTACTTTGGTTGGAGAATTAGGATTTGTAGTAGTTCTCTGAATCCTTTGTCCTCCAGGGAATGTGAAGAGAGCCTGGTAACATCTGCATACACAGCTTGGTGAATTGCACGGAGAACCGCCAAGCTTAGGAAATACATAACTTTTATAACAACCAGTAAGCTTCCTTGTACTCTGACACTTCAAAGGGAGATACTTTGTCTTCTCAGGCTGTTCACTCAACAGGCATCCCTGGTAAAATAACAGAATAAATGATGTTGGTGTCTTATTTTCTAAGAGGAGCACAGATGCGAGAGATCCATAGAGAATTTTCTTCGACAATGATGTTTCCACACTGTCTTAGTATGATGTTGACTGCTATAACTAATACAAAGGTTATTATCAAATCCGTTAACCCCATCTCACACAAATTCATGTATCTCAACAGAACTCAAAGAAGCAGAATGAAATATCTGTATTTTTGATCTGAACCATGGACTTAACTAACCAGAGATGAGACATAAGCCATTATTAGTCCCACCTTTGAAATCAAGTTTCTTTCTTCTTTAAATCTGTTTTGACTTTGTCATTATCACACATCAGTAATTATTAACTCATGATAAAATTAACAGTTTATTTGTTTAAAATATTTTTCATCGTGTATATTCATTGTACGCAGTACTGTGTTACATAAGGACTTTTCTGTCCAAGTCTATATTGTACATTGTTGCGCATTGAACACATTCTCCCTCCAATTCCTTTCTTCATTGCTCCCTTCCCACAATCCCCTTTACTCTCCTAGATGGTTTGGCTTTTATTTTCATGTCATATGTGCATACATGATTTTATTTTTCTGTATAAAAATATCTGAACTCAATTCACCTAATATAATCATCTCCAGCTATATCCACCCTTTTTTTTTTGCCACTGACATACCATTTTCTTTTTTAGGCTTGAAAGTTGGGTGTAGGTTTGTCATATGCAGTCTCTCTCTCTCCCTCTCCCTCCCTCCTCTCTCCGTGTGTGTGTGTGTGTGTGTGTGTGTGTGTGTGTGTGTGTAGTGTGTGTGTGTATGATGTAAGGGCACAAGCACACACTGAGTTAAAGTATGTTCCTTTTATTTCTAGTATCTCCAGAGCTCTTTATCGTTAAGGTAGGTTGTATTTTGTCAATAGCCTATTTTGGTTTACTGAGATGATTCTGTGATTTTTGTCCTCAGGTTCACTTTTGTGATGTACTGCATTTATAGATCTGCACTTATAGAATCAACCCTGTGTCTCTGAAATGAAGCCAACTTTATTATCTTAAATTTCATTTGCAAGTATTTTATGGAGAATATTGGGACCTATGCTTATCAGAGTCATTGGTCTATACTTCTAAAGACTATTATTACAATTATTTTGCTTTTTGAAGAAGGGTCTCATTATGTAGTTCTGGTTGTCCTGGAACTATGTAGAGTAGGCTGGCCTCAGACTCACAAGATCTGGCTATTTTTGCCTACAAAGTACGGGGATTAAAGGCATGCACCATCGTACCTGGCTATTATTTATTTTTAATTAAAAATAAAATAAATTATATATATACACACACACACACACACACATATCAGGTTTAGACAGAAAAAACCCTAAACAGGTTATAGTGTGTTTAACAATGTGTGTAGGCTTAATATTTTAAACTGTGTGTGTGTATGTGTGCAGGTACCTACTGAGACCAGAAGGCAGCTTTAGTTACCCAGAGCTGTAGTTACAGACAGTTGTGAGCATTTTGATGTGGATGCTGGGAACCAAACTTAGGTCCTCTGCAAGAACAGCAAATGCTCTTAACTGCTGAGGCATATCTAAACCCTCTAATACTATGTGTGTATGAATGTATGTATGTATGCATGTATGCACATATGTATGTACTTTGTGTGTGTGTGTGTGTGTGTGTGTGTGTGTTTATCTGGTTTTGATATGAGGGCTCATAATTTTTTGTAGAATTTTTTTCTATTTATCTGTTTTATGGAATAGTCTAAGAAGCATTGCTGTTAGTTATTGTTTAAATGAGACACCACAAACAAAGCAACCCTTATAAAAGAAAGCATTTAATTTGGGGTTTGCTTACAGTTTCAGAGGTTTAGTCTACTTTCATCATAGTGGGAACATGGCAATACACATGGTGCTGGAGCACCCTTATGGCACATTTTCTCCAAGCAGGCCACACCTCCTAATCTTCTATTCCTTCTCAAATAGTGCTACTTCCTGGTGACTAAGCATTCAGATATATGAGCCTGTGGGGACCATTCTTATTCAAACCACCACATTCTACTCCCTAATCCCCATAGGCCTATAGCCATATCATAATGCAAAATGCATCCAATCTAACTTCAGAAGTCCTTATAGGCTACCACAGTACAATGTTTTTAAGTCCAGCGTTCAAAATCTCTTCTGAGACTCATGGCAATCTCTCAAATACAATCCGTTATAAAATCAGAATAAAAGGGCAAATCATATACTTCCAACATACAATGGCATAGACTGTATATTATCATTCCAGAAGGAAGGAAAGGGAGCACAGTGAGGAAATACTGGACCAAAACAAGACTGAAACCAAGCAGAGCAAACTCCAAACTCTGCAGCTCCGTGTCTGAAGTCAAAGCACTCTTCAGATCCCCAGCTCCTTTCTGCTTTGTTGACTGTGACACACTTCTCTCTCTTGGGCGGGTTCCACACCCAGTCTGCAGCTTTCCTTGGCAGGAATCCATGACTCTGGCGTCTGCAACATCGTGAGGTCTGCAACAGAGCCAGGCGTCACCCTCACAGTGCCACACGATGGCCTCTCATTCACAAAATAAGCAGTCCAACTGTCTGAGTGCAGTCTCATTCACAAAATAAGCAGTCCAACTGTCCGAGTGCAGTCTCAGATCTGAGTGCGGGCTCTTACTAAAACTAGAGCTCTTCAAGTAGAGTTTACCCTGTAACATTTGGTTGGACTTAACACTGTCGGTCTGGTTTTTTCTTTTTTAAAATCTTTTTCTCCTTTAATTGAAAATAGATATTTTCTCATACAGTATATCCTGATTATATTTTCCTCCCCCTCTTCTCCTCCCATTTCCTTCCCACCTCCCCTCCCATCCAGACCAACCTGCTTTCTGTCTCTCGTTAGAAAACAACAGGCTTCTAAAGGGATGAATAATAAGGCAAAATATAATAAGATAAAAAACCTAATATACCAGAATACAAAAAGTCCAACAACAGCAACAAAACAAAATAAAGCAAAACACCAGAAGAAAAGGCACAAGAAGCAGATATAGACACAGAGACCCACTTATCCATATATCCAGGAATGCTATAAACATAAAAGCATTAAACTGGAAGCCTTAACTATATAACCAAAGGACCCTTATGGTAAAAAGGCAGAAAAATAAAAAATAAGAATGAATAAAAAGTAAGATTTTTAAAAGTCCTGGCATGACTTTATGAGACAAGCAAGCTCTGAAGATGCTACCGAGCTGGTTTTCTGCTGACCGTGGACTGCTGGGCACGCAGCCTACCCTTAAGACAGTTTGTCTCCCGCTGACCGTGGACTGCTGGGCACGCAGTCTGCCCTTAAGATAGTTTGTCTCCCCAGCGAGACTGCCTTGGAGAAACTAATTTTCATCTGAAAGTGGTTGTCAATTGGCTCCTGGGTTAGGAATGGGGCTGTGCTTTAGCTCTAACCCATCCGGTGCAGCCCTGTGCAGCCCTGTGCATGCTGCCTCAGTCTCTATGAGTTCGAATATACTTTGATCCTGTTAATTTAAAGGGCCTTGTTTCCTTCATGTCCTCCAAGCCCTCTGGCTTTTATACTCTTTCTGCCTTCTACTCGCAGGATTCCCTGAGCTCTGAGGGGAGGGATTTGGCCTGCATTATAATATTGTATTTTAGCTTATACTTTATGCTCTTTAAAAATTGCTAAAGAGTCAGTGTGCGAGTGTGGCTGTGGACGTGTGGGTGTGGACGTGTGGGTGTGGACATGTGGGTGTGGACGTGTGGGTGTGCACGTGTGGGTGTGGATGTGTGGGTGTGCACGTGTGGGTGTGGACATGTGGGTGTGGACGTGTGGGTGTGGACATGTGGGTGTGAATGTGTGGGTGTGCACGTGTGGGTCTGGACATATTGGTGTAGATATGTGGATGTGCACGTGTGGCTGTGAACGTGCTGGTGTGCATGTGTGGGTGTGCATGAGTAGGTGTGGACGCGTGGGTGTTGATGTGTGTGTGTGGACATGTGGGTGTGGGCGTGTGGGTGTGGACGTGTGGGTGTGCACGAGTGGGTGTGGACACGTGGGTGTTGATGTGTGGGACAGAAATCAGCCTCGGGTGTTGCTACTCAGGAGCTTCTATCTGGTTTGCATTGTTTTTTCGGTGGGGAGAGATAGATCCCTGTCTGGCCCTGGAAACTCACCATTTAGTTTGGTGGGATGGCTGAGAGCCCCGGTCTCTGCCTGTCTTCATCTCCCCAGTGCTGGGGTTACAAGCACATGCCATTATGCTTGACTCTTTTATGTGGCTTCTGGGGATCAAACGCAGGTCCTCATGCTTGGCAGTAAACACTATTAACCGAGCTATCTCTCCTGCCTTGATTTATTTTTTAATATTCTTTTTATAGTTATAAACTCTTTGTATCCATAAATTCATATAATAACTTCTTTCCTTTTTGAAAATGAAGTCAATTTTTTTTCACCTATAAACTGGGAATACAGCATATTTTAGTGACTTGTGAGAATTTGTTAAAATAATCTACATTAATCATTTATTGTCCTGCTTAGAATGTGGTAAGCTTGTTTAAATGTTGGCTTTAAAACAGAAAGTAAATTTAAAAAGAAAATTAGGGGGCATAAAATTCTCACCCTCAGCTTTGGTAGGCTACCTCATGCCTGGTGTGTTCTCTGTGGAATCCCCTCATGTCTTTGCTCATACCTACATCTCAAAGACTTTACAGCTGACTTATGCAACAACTAGAGAGCCAAGACTGGCAGTTCTGAAGTACACGAGGCAGGGTAGTAGTTAATTAATGTAGGGTTTTGTTCTTTCCACCATTCCCAGAAAAGTATGCTGTGATTCAAGGCTTCCTACCTTCAGTCTATTATAAACAACCTCTATAAGACAGACTTACAAAACAGTGAGGACTGAAGTGGAGGGTTCTCAGTCCCTGAATAAAACTCCACCATGCAGATATTTCTCAGTTTAGAAGTTTCTGGGGGAGGGTGGTGTGGGAGATAACTGGGGTTTGTTGAGGAGGGCAGAGAATTGTTAACTCGTTTTTCAGCGATAACAGACCAAGTTAGGAGGCAGCCTTGGGAGGTGTGAAACTCATCCTTCTTCGCTTTGAGCTGGGACATGGTGCTGTGGATGACGAGCTTTTATAAAAGTCACAGAAGCTTATGCAAATGGTCTGGGACAGAGGAATGGCATGTCCCACTGTTGAATGGTATTGGTCTTAGGCAAAGGGCATCACTTTTGTGTACAGGATGGCAGGCGTGAGAATAACAACCATTTACCACTCAACAGGACACCACCCTGTAAGTGGAGATTGCTCGTTCATTTCCCGGCTGCCTGAATAATCGCACAGAAACTATATTAATTACAACACTGTTTTGTCTATTAGCTCAGGCTTCTTATTAACTAACTCTTACATCATAAATTAACCCATTTCTATTATTTTGCATTTTTCCACTAGGTCCATGGTTTGTTACCTTTTGCTTCTTGGGCAGCTACATAGCACCTACCTCCTTCGGCAGCTACATGGCATCTCTTTGACTCTGCCTACTCTCTCTTTATATCTCTTTCAGCCTGACTATATTCTGCCCTGTCATAGATCAAAGCAGTTTCTTTATTAACCAATGGTAATAAAACATATTCATAACATGCAGAGGGAAAGCCCACATCATCACCCTACCTCCAATTTAGAGTGTATATGACAGGAGGAAGGTCTTCTTCTAAACACAAGTTGTAGTATCTTGATCTCTCCAGCTGTTGGGATAATACACACACACATGTTATGTATATATATATATATACATACACACATATACACATTATACACACATATAACATGTGTATATATACATATATAATTAAATATGCTATTATAGCAATTATGAATGTATATCTAATTAATACACATACATAATAAATAAATACACAAATATATATGATATATATCCCCCAAGCAGAACATATCTGCTTAATGTGAATTCCGCTGGCTATATGTAAAACAAATTCATATTTCATTCAGTCCTTCAAAACCTTTCATTACCATCCAATTGTACACTTGTCTCTTTCAACTTTATCTAAACTGAAAAAAAAAAACAAAGGAGGCTGTGGCAGGTGAGTTTAGGAGAGCTCTTTTATCTGTTGGTTTCTTTTGTTAGCAGCTGCAGCACTGTTTAGAAAGCTGAGGAACAAAGGAGCAATCTGAGGCTGATGGTCTGTAGCTTGGCCAACTAGAAAGCAGAGGCAAACGTTTGTAAAATTTTGTAAAATAATTGAAGGCAGCAGAAGGTGAAGAGGAATCAGAACAGCTGGGGCTGATGGGAAATAGGAAAGGTGATGCAGAGGCTCAACCAGTGTGTCGTGTCGCTGACAGCATGGTGTGTCCTCACTCTCTAGACTGATTTTCCTACCTTCACTTCTCAGACCCTGTCCCTCTATTTATTATCCCTTGAGTGAATCCTGAAGTTCTATGTATTAGTTAGTTTTCCATCACTGTGACAAAATCTCTGAGAAAATCAACACATGGTTTTTTTTTTTGTTGTTTTTTTTTTTTCCGTGGTTGCCTCGTGGCAACTGGGAAACAAAGAGAAAGAAAGGTTATCTGATATTCTGGACTCAGTTTCTTCCACTGTGCCTACCTCTTGAAGTTCCTATACCTTCCAATAGTGCCACAGGCTGGTGATCAAGACGTTAATACACAGGTCTTTGCAGGGCATTCCGGACAAAACCATAATGTCCTTGCTCCAGGCGATAGCGGCTAATACCACTGGCTTGCATTTGGCTTTGCATTGAGCTGCGACCCAGAGGCATAGGAGGTTTGGAAGAGTAACTCCGGGAGATATTGCCAGAAAGAAATACTACAAGTATAAAAAACGGTAGAATTGTCAGTAAATTCTCACAGAAGCATTATTATACACTGTCTGATTATGGTATTATTGAGCACAAGATTTTTTGGATCTTATTAAATTATTAGTGTAACTATGTAGTGGGTGAAGCAGGCTTTTCATGCCTTTCATTAGGAATAGAACCACTGTGTATAACATTGTTTCTATTGCAAAATGCTTCTAAAGGTCCTACAATAGACTGACAAGGGCCTTTGGATGCCTCTGGTTGTCAGTTGGATTGGTCTGATTGGGCTGAAGAGGGCCACCCTGTTCTTCAGCTCCAATGGATGACTCTGTACAGAGAAGGCAACGTCTTTTACGGTGACAGACAAGCCACATACTCTGGGTTTAAATAAAGATAAAAGTTGGCTCCTTGAAGGAGAGCCTGCCTACTTCAAGACAGGCCATATTTAGTGAAATATGACCCAGAATAGGCCTGCTTAACCAAGGCATTTGGTCATAAAGTCCTCTGCCAGTATCAGACCATCTGTGTTTACTTTTGGGTGGAAGCAAAAGTTTCACTGTTACTTCAGATCAAAAATGGCGTTGCTCAGTGTGATCAAGGTTGTGAAAACTAAAGAATAAATCAGAATGGGAGATTTATTCTTTTTTTTTTTTTTTACTGCTTGCCATTTTCAACTGAGACTATAAATGAAACATTAGAGTCAGAGGGAACGTAAAAGAGGTGGCTGGCAGCTTGGTCATGTTTTATGTAACACTTGTTTTTCTTTTACATGAGCACATCATACCATCCATCAGGGTAAATTAATGTGTCTTGGGCCTCTAAAAACTGGAAAAAATAATTTTAATGGTTCCAATAACAGCTCCAGATGAATGCTGGAGAACAGATACTCCAGACTGTCAAAGAGCATATGTATGACTTGGCTCTGTTGGAACTGCAAATAAATGCTGCTTTTGTATGGAGTTTCCTTGACTGCCAGGGGAAGGACTGTAGCACACTTACTGCAAACAAAACTGGACTGGGCAGGAGACCTGCTACAGCAGAGTGCCACTAAGTCCTTCTTGCCAGCTGGACTGAATTAAAATAAATCATTAAGACAATGAAAGGTCTTGCTTAACAGGAGGAACAATTTAATCAAAGAGATTTACAAAAGTGGAGGGGTCTCAGACACACAGTGCTTATAATACAGCATGTTTATTTTAAAATGCAAGTTTCTTACTGTGTGGGGGAGTATAAGTAGGTCTCCAGTATAAATGGGTATGTTAAGGGGGGGGGGGAACCAAGTGTGTCTCGGAAATGAGCTTGACTGTGCACAGAAAGCAAACGGAAAGGCTTTCTAATAAAGGCCAGTTCCAATGGCTGTTTACTACAGGTAAAGGGCTTCAAGGCACTGCTCCGTTTGTGAAAGGGGTGAATCACGCTATTATTTATTGTGGTTAATTGCTAATGTTTCAGAAGAGCACAGTGTGTTTCACAACAGGCCTGAGTAATCCGTGGTGACCTTTTATGATATCAAAGCTTTATCAATTAGAAGCTCCTGATTGTGGCTTCAGAGGATGCCCAGTGAGTGCCATCAAAAGGAAAGATTATATTTAGCTTCTTATGCAATTGGGATTTTTTTTTTTGGCAACTTTCCTTTTCAAACTAAACTCTCTCTAGGGCGCTGCTTCCAAATCCACAAAACGAAGTGCATTCAGAATGGTTTTCAACTTCAAGGAGTGGTTTTTGTAAGCAACAGCAGACATTTCAAAGAAACAGAGGCTATATTTTCCTGATAAACTTGGATCTTCTTGAGGTCCCCACACTGTCTAGCTAACTTCCTGGTCACTTTCCCCTCATCTACTTTGCTTTGTTGATACGAAGTCTGTTTGCGAAGCTGCTAAAGCCCTTTTTTCTGAGTCAGTCTTGAAGGATTTGTTGTTTTTCACTCATTGATTCCTAGACAAGGATGGCCAGTTCTTTTCTTCCTTTTTTTTTTTTTTTTTTGCTGAGGCTGTGGTAGTGGCTAATACCTTCTTGAAATCCTCTGCTCTGAAGTGTTTTGAATGCTGCAGATTCTACATTTTCGGAGCATTTTGTCCTGTATTTTTCCTCTTAAAGCTGGCTCTCCACATATTCCTTTTCATATGCTCTAATTTTTCCATTACCTGTTTCTAAGTCTGCAGCTTTCTTTCCCTTCTCCATAACCCAGGCACACTCAACGACGCCCAACTCTTTGCCAAGCTCCAAGTCCACGTTTGTAACTCCTGCCAAACATTCTCATCACCTTTATCAAGAATGTCTAAAAACAAACCATGACCTTCCTCTGACCTTATTTAGAAACCTAAATTTCTGTATGAATTACTAAATCTCCTTGGCAATTTCCTTCCAGGGATCAGTGCTTTGGACTGTTTTGTAATGGGCCCGAGTTACAGCCCCGTCTTTACTTACTCTCTGCCATTATAGTCTGGACTACATTGGCTGCATTCCTGCCAACTTCGGTATTTATGATAAGCTCAGGATTAATTAAGTGTGTGGATTAGTGGAGCCATCATCTGGAACCTATACATCAGCAGGGTGTTAGCTTTGTTGTGCATTTATTGTCAGCTGGTAAGTAGTAGAGTTGATTTCTGTCTGTACTATGATAGACATAGACATTTTCTACAAATTCCAGAAAAGTTTCCAAACTATAGAGGAATTAAAATTAATGAGAGGTAGTTTTAAGCTTTATGAAGTTTATATCCTAAAGTGAGCGTACGGATTTACTAAAAATAAGGAGAGCCTGTTTCTGCATAAAAAAAATCAGATAAGCATAGCAGCACATGACTGTACAATGCAGCATTCTGGATGCAGAGACAGGGGGATGATAATCTCAAGGCCAGTCAGGGCCACAGAGTGAGATACTGTCTCCAAACAAACAAAAGAAATAAAGAAAACAGAGGTACCATTTAGACACAATGATCAAAGATAATACACGAGACAGTGTCTTGCTGTGTAACCCAGCCTGCTTCAACCTCCTGCGTCATGTGTGCGTGTGCAAAGATGCTAAAAGCAAATATTTGTGGCTACTTTGCTTCTAATAGTCCCAAACAGGAAGCAAACATTTTAAAAACAACAGATGAGTACATAAATAAATTGGTACATCATAATGGAATGCTAGACAAACATAGAAAAGCTCAGTGGTTAAAGGGCTTGTCATATAACCAGAAGAGGAGTTCAGTTCCCAAGAACCCATGTAAATGGCAGGTGGGCTTAGCGATTCACCTGTAAGGCAGAGAAACAGGAAATCCCTAGAGCAGGCTCTTTAGAGAGACTAGCCAATCAGAGAACTCTGGGTGTGACAGAGAGACTCTGCCTCAGATAAAAACTAAGGTAGAAGAGCAATCAAGGAAGGGTCCCAACATCAACCTTAGATCTCCACAGGCCTATGTGCTCACCCATAAGCCTAATACATGTGCACACTGCATGCATTCAAGTAGCAAGAAGGAAAAGAGAGAAACAACAAACAATGAATTACTTCTACACAACATGGAGAGTTTCAGAAGCATTCTGCTGTGGTAAAGAGCTGCACTTAAGTGATTCTGTTTTTGTAGTATTTCAGAGAAAGTCAAAAGCACGGTGATAGCAAATCAAATTAGTCCGAGGCACACAGAGAAGACTGATTGGCTGGAAACAATGCAGAGATTTGAGGCCTCATGGAAACGATTATTGTTGTGGTTAAACAGCTAATACTCTCATCCAAATATGTTGGAGTTTACATTTAGGTTGGAGAATCAAATTATACCATTGAGTAGATTTTAAAAAATAGTTAAGGAAAAATGATGCGTGACACATGCTTAGGTTGAGGGGAGTATAGAATCCTCTGGGGCCACAACATAGGTTGCTGCACAAATCAGAGGGTCCAAGGAGACCTTCCTGGAAAGGAGCATTTAGTCATAGCACATGCAGGGGCAGCTTGAATGCAAGGGTTTAGACAGAAGGAGGAAGGGTGTGCAGCATGAGCAACATGTACAAAAGCTTAGAGACAGGAGATGCTGTGACAGAAGATGAAAGTCAGTGTAAAGAGACAGGCTGGATAGGATATGAGACCTTGTGCTAAGTTGGGACCTTAGCCTTTCTCACCATGAAATTAAATGAGTCGACTTCTAGTTTATAAGAGTGTCTCTGATGTGTGGAGTAATGTATGGAAGGAGCATTGCATGGTAGAATTCGACATATGTTAGTGGAGTTTCAGGAAGACTAGAGAGGGGTGGGTAGATTTCAGAAATATTTAGAACACAAAATTTGCTGCAGGAGTACAGAGGGAAGAATGAATAGGGAGTGTGGTTCTTTTTATTGTTTCTAACTGAATGGCTGGGTGAAGATGGTGCCATTTTCTGAATTAAAAAATAAAAAAAACAGAAAGAAGTTGGGAGTAAAATTAATGCTTTAACTTTTTACTTACTAGTTATGAGGTGGATGGGAGTATTCAGACTGTGTTTATAGTCGGTTGGATATGTGGGTGCCTTAGGGTTTCTACTACTGTGAAGAGACACCATGACTATGGCAACACTTGTAAAGGAAAACATTTAGTTGGAACTGGCTTATAGTTTCAGAAGTTTAGTTCCTTATAGTCATAGCGAGGCATGGTGGCATGCAGGCAAACATGGTGCCGGAGAAGGAGCTGAGAGTTCTACATCTTGAATTGAAGGTGGCAGGAAGTAAACTGCTACACTAGGCTTAGCTTGAACATAGGAGACCTCAAAGCCCACCTCCACAGTGGCATACTTCCTCCCATAAGGCCATGCCTACTTTAACAAAGCCACTTCTCCTAATAGTGCCACTCCCCATGGGTGCTAATTTTTTTCAAACCAACACAGTGCTGTTTAGAAGGAAGGGATAGGTTTCAGAATAGATTCACATCTTCAGCGTAGGTGGGAACTAAAGGCACAGAATTATGACTGAGGACATGAATGAGTAGAGTAAAGAGAGAAGGGGCCTATGGTAGAAGGCAAGGTCAGAAGAAAATTAAGAGAGCATGATATTATTGAAT